GTTTCTTGTCTTTAGAAAAAGCTCAGTGTTCACTTGACTGGAACAAGTGCCCCCTGTATGACACTGTGAAGGTCAAAGCAGATTTGAGAAAGAAATTAATGAACATTTCTTTTTTTTTTTTTTTGTTCTCGAATTTTTTCTCCCCCTCCCCCCACCATCAAGAGGGATAGTTCAAAATTGGTAAGGTCCAGTGAAATGGCTCTTGGGATCCGTGGGCTGGGATTGCTGAAGGGGCTCAGTTGGTTGACTGCTAGCTGCGGGTGCCCGAGGGCCGCCCTGGGCCAGCACCATGCTTAAGCCTCATAACATCCTACGGGGTGAGGAAGTGGAGGCTGAGAGAGGGTGAGTCCCCGGTATCTCAGAGCTAGCCGGGGCCTTTCAAATCCATGCTGCTGGGCAAGTGACATATTCAGAAGGGCCGTTGGGCAGGCCCTGTCCTTGGATGTTGCTCTGCTGCCCTGGAAAGTTCCAGACCTGGGAGATCAGTTTGCTCAGAGGGCTCCTGGCTCTGGGCTCATTTCCTCCTGGGGGAGTGGTGGTGGTAGGGGGAACACTGGTGCTATGGGAAGATTGGGGGAATCTGCTGGGCTGTGGGAGGTGTTGGTCCTGGCCCGCACAGCCTTCTCTGGGGTGGGGAGGTCCACACTTGGGCTTCTCACTTGTGGTTATTTTGAGGCATATATGTTTCTTGCTCGAGTGTGGTTGAACTGATTTCTTGCCCAGCTGAATGTAGGCTTGACTACCCTAGGAGTCCCACCTGGGGGGTGGGCGGTGTGATCTCTAGTGAGGGCCCAGCATGGTTGGAAGGGTTCACAGCTGTTCTGAGGTCAGGCCTGATGGCTGGTGAGGGCCTGAGGGAGTTGGATCACCCAGAGGCCAGGCTGGGGCCCAGGACGGTTGTGTGTGATTATTGGCACCACTCTGTAAGGGATCTCCAAAATTGGTTGGCTTGCTAGTGACGTTGGACAAAGGAATAACCAATCTGCATAATTCATAGGCATGAGCTAGGTTTTGGTTCTCGGAAGACACTCGTGAAGTAAATAGGTCTATCCTAGTTCATACATGAGAAAATGAAGACTTGTTTAAGATCATGAAGTAGGTGGAACTCAGCTCCTTTCCCAAGTCCCCTACTCCTTCCACTACCCCGTCAAAACCCACGGTAGGCCTTTAGCAACCAAAGCTCCAGGGGAGGGAAGGGCCAGCTGGACTTAGCAGTGACCAAAGACGGAGTAGAGGCCCTCATGTCTGGGGTTTGTCTTGTTCACGGCTATATCTCTAGCCCCCGACAGGGCCTGGCCATAGTAGGTTCTCCGTAAGTATTTGCTGAGAACATAAAGAATTTCTTAGGTGTGGAGGATCATCTCGCTCATTTGCTCTGCACCTTCCAGAATTTTTCCCTTCTCTTTGCGACTCCCTCTTCTTCTCCCTGGGAGTGGGACAGTCTCTGAGACACCCACTCACCCTCCCTCCCTTTGCCCCACAAGAGCATTTGGGATTGCTCTGTGGGAGAAATAGATAGCTTTTAGGTCCAGTGCATTAACACGAGATCTGGATTGTGTGGCTTGCTTCTCACACAGATAGTTTTGATCTGGAAGAGTGCCCTTGTAACCTCTTCATTTTGCCAGCTGGGGAGAGTGGGCCCCAGACAAAGCAGTGGCAGAGCTGGGCCTGAACTTGCCCCTTCACCCCAGAGCTTTCTCTGCAGTGTTCACCACCGCTCCAAAACCCAGTGGGTGACCTTGCGCCTCTTTTGAGATTTAAGTCCCTCTGGTTTCTGCCACAGGGAGCTGAGCAGGAGACCTTCTCTTTAAGTGCAGAATGATGGGGGGGATGTCTCTGTCCAAGTTAAAACTTGGGGGTCTTTGCTCAGGACTCTTGCAGCTCTCAGGTTAGGATCTCCTAAGGGTTTTTCTTTTGAGTTTGGTTTTCTCCCCTTCCCTCTGCCTCTCTTGTCTCTACCCACCTTGTGCTTTGAGTCCCCGTTGGCTGCGCAGGCAGAGGCGAGTGGAGTATTTGAGTGTGGAGCCGGCTTCTCAGACCCTCTTTGGGTCCCTGTCGGGGGGGTGTGTGGAGGTTGTGGGCCAGGTTGCTTGGCGTTGTGGTCTGAGTTCTGCAGGCCACACCCTGCCCTGCCTCTCCCCAGGGGTGAGGTGCTGGCCACCTGGCATTTATGTGTGCAGATCTACATCTGTTCCTACGAAAGAAGGAGAAAATAAAAATGCCACCTGATTGTGTGCAGAGCACGTTCGTGACCGTTTCAAAACTTAGTTTTGTTTGTGGTCTCCTTTGAGCCCAAGAAGGGGTGGGTTGGTACTTAGATGGCATCTACAAGAAGGTCCTGCAGCGGGTGCCTTTCCACACAGGAGCTCATGTAACCTTTGAGATCCAGCAAGGGGGTAATCTCTGTCTCACAGATAAGGACTCAGAGACTTAGAGCCCTTTGTTCGGGGTTACTTTATCTATTCATTCAATAGGTAGTTACTGAGCCTCTGTTGTGTGCTGGGCCCCACCCTCAACTTCCCCTTGGATAAAATTGACAAGGTCCCTGTAGTCAAAGAGCTGAGAATCTCCGGTGGTGGTGTGAGTAGGAGCTAGACTGTGGGAGCAGGGATTAGGGGCTCGAGGAGTTAGGATTTTAGCCCATTTTACTCAGATGCTTCATATTGTACCATGTCACCGCCCTTGTTCTTGTGTGGTATCCATCCATCTCCTCCCCGTAATAAGGATTATTAACACAATTTACATATGGTTTAACTGTGGGCTCAGAGAGGCTGGGGGATTTGTCTAAGGTTGCATAGTAGATGAGCTGGAATAGACTCTAGGTCTCCTGTGCCTACCTGTGAATAGTGTGGTTTTTGTGTTCTTCTTCTTACTGCAATTTTTTAAAAATTGACTTATAATTGACATAGAGCATTGTATTATTTTTAGGTATACCACAGTAATGTGTTTTTATAAAAGTAAAAAAAATCAGCAGTTTGCAGAAGAATGATTAGTCCGTCTGTTGGCATATTGATGAACTCTCAAACACATTAGAAAAATTCAGAGTTGCTAGTAAGTAAAGGGGAAGCTCTGTGTCTCAATTTGTAATCGGGACTGAAGAGCGTGGCAGGTCTGTGGTCTGAAGGCCAGGGGGTGTGTCTGTCTTTCTGGGACCTGGGGTTGGCCCTGTCACGGTTGTGTTCCACTTAGGGTTCGGGGGAAAAGCTCTTAAAAGAAAGCTGTCACATTTGTTGCCAACATTAATCTATATTAATATTTAAACCCTGCTCAAACTTTTAGAAAGCAGAAGTCTGGAAATCCCAAGTTGGGCGGCCAGTGACCTCCCTCAATGCATGAGCATGAGTGTGACATGGGATTGGGGAGGGTGACGTGGCCTCGGGGCAAATGCCTTCCTAGTCCTTTTAAAAACAGAAGTTCCCAGCACACAGTCCTCACCTCTCATGGGGCTTGTGTGGGGGGCTCCGAGCCTTCCTAGTTATTTGGTTCCAGTCATTAATGGCCTTCTCAGCAAATACTGTTGTCACATTATTTAAAGGGCAAAGTGAAGGGGGCCGTGGTTTAGTCTTTTGCTCTTTCCTTTGGGGTCTAGAAGAACCCTGGCTGAACATCTTCTTTGATAGTATTTTTTCTCTGCCACCAAATGCCGACCTGGGAGAGGTCTGGCACCTGGGCCCCTCCTCCCACTCTGCCTTTGCTTGGTAAATCATTGCCCTCACCCAGAACATCCTGGGGGCGGGGCACAGGTGACCTCAAGAAACTCTGCTCGGTTGTTGGTGTCTCTTCTCGAAGAACCCTGAGCTGTCCCAGACCTCAGCCTCCTGAGTGGCTCTGCTCTGCTTCTAGAAGCCTGTTTGCCCGATGTGCCCTCGGGCCGGCGGATCCCTGGTTCATGGCAGTAACGGTTGTCACGGTCCAGAAGTTGTTTCAGTTTTGCTAATTAGTCTCTCGTGTATTTTGTGTTTGCGATGTGCAGGGCACTGGGGCACTCGGAACCTTTTATGTATGCGGCCTCACTCTGTTTTCACCAAAATCTGGGGAGGCAGGCCTTTCTGTTGTCCCCCTTCGACAACTGAAGAAAACAGGTGCGAAGAGAGTCCCTCACCGTCTCAGCTCACATGGCTGCCTGGCAGGGCAGAGCCCACCCCAAGAGAGCACAGGTTCTCCTTTGGAATAAACCTTCACTTGCAGTCCTGAGGCAGGAGTTCTGAGGCTCCCTCAGCTTCCCCTCGAGTCGTGGGAGGGCCTGGGGCCAGATGAGTCTTGGTTGCCAGAGCTGACCTGTGCCTTGTAGGGTGTGGAGCGGCACCTCTGGCTTGTGCCCACTAGATGCCGGTAACACTCCTCCCCTGCCCCATACCCTGCCTCATCTGCCCCGTGGTGACCACCAGAACTGTCGCTAGACGCTGCCAGATACCACCCCCCCGAGGGGACAAAACTGCACCCAAACGGAGAACCACTCAGTTCTGGCCACCATTTCAAGCTTGAAGCCCAGACAGTGTGTGGAGACTGAGAAAGGTACAATGTTTAAAATCAGGCCTGTCGGGGGGCCTGGGTGGCTCAGTCAGTGAAGCGTCTGCCTTCGGCTCAGGTCATGATCCCAGGGTCCTGGGATCGAGCCCCGCGTTGGGCTCTCTGCTCAGTGGGGAGCCTGCTTCTCCTTCTCCTTCTGCCTGCCGCTCCCCCTGCTTGTGCTCTCTCTCTCTGTCAAATAAATAAATAAAATCTTTATTAAAAAAAAAAAATCAGGCCTGTCTTAGAAAACCCAAAACTGGTGCTTTAGCTCCAGCCCTCTGTGTGTGAGGATAGACTGACGGTGGGCTTTAATGTGGGGATAACCTTTCACAGTGAAATTTATTTATTTATTTTTATTTATTTATTTATTTATTTATTTATTTATTTATTTATTTATTTATGATTTTATTTATTTGATAGAGAGAGAGAGATAATGAGAGCAAGAACACAAGCAGGGGGAGTGGAAGAGGGAGAAGCAGGCATCCCGCGGAGCAGGGAGCCCGATGCGGGGCTCGATCCCAGGACCCTGAGATCATGACCTGAGCTGAAGGCAGACTAACGACTGAGCCACCCAGGCGCCCGTCATAGTGAAATTTAAATCACACCACATGCCTCTTGGAAGCCTCATTATGGAGCCCCCTTAAAATATCTTGTCTTTATGCACTGGAAACTTGGGGGAGAAAAATCAGTGTCTTACATTTATTGAGGTTTTGTGGTGAAAAGAACTTTTTGTCGAGAAGAACCAGGTGAAAACGAGAAGGGCCTCTTTTGCGCCACTTCTGACACATGGAGTGTGTATACAATGGGTGGAACATTTCTGTGCCTTCTGTAAGGCCCCCGGTGAACGGGCTTTTCAGGTTTCAGAGCCATTCCCTGTCAGTCAGATGATTTGCGAAGTGCATGTTCTGTGGTGTGTGTACACAAGCCTGAATGAATTTGTCTTCACACACGTGGCTGGTAAGGCTGTCCTGTTTTGTCAAATTCGATTTCTTTTCCTCAATGTATAGTTTCTGTTCGTTCTCACATTCCTCCCCTAAGGTGCTTCAGTGCCTACAGTATGCCAGGCTGTATCGGAAGCCTCTGAGCATTTGTTTGGAGAGTTAATTAAACATTAGAGCACATAATTTGCTGAGAAGTCTTGTGCTAAGAAAATCCAAGCTGTAAAAACCTCAAGAACAGCAAAATTAGGGAACTTTTTTTTTGATCTGATGATGATAGAGGTTATAAATCCGTTTCTTGGATTCTGTGAAACAGCTCCCTCCTGGTACGTCATAAATAGGGTTCAGCTTGCAATATCCTTTATATGTGCTTTTCCAGCAACATCTATCTGAGGCGAGGTGGAGTGTGCCCCTTTCTATAGGTAGCCTTTGGGGCACATGTTTGGTACCTCTCATGAGAGTGGCTAGTTTTCAGGAAATGGTTCACTTGTCAGTCTTGGTAACTCTAATGGACGACTTTTGCAAAAGCACCCGGTGAACATTTCTATCTTCTTGCATTAGTAGCATAACTCCTTCAGGGGTGACAACTAACTAACTGATGGCATCTTTTTATCCCATCATATCTGTGATTTTTATTTCCAGGGCTTAACTCCCTCCTCCAATAATAAAAGTAATAATAGCTACCATTCGGAGTCCCTGCTATTATTAGCAGTGTTATTAACTAGGAGCAGTTAAATACCAGGCACAGGGGCACGTGGGATTCCAGCCTGCACTTACCCACAAGGTCCCTATAGATGCATGGCCTGCCTCCCATGGTCACTATAGATGCAGAACTGGAGAAAGGAAGGAAAGTATAAAGAAG